AAAGTGATAAACTGATTTGGTCATTAGATTCTAAGGAACCCGCAACATAAGTGAATAGGTTGTAGACTAAATAGATTTCTTAAACTCTTTCTTGGGTCTTGCCTATTTATATCATTTGTAAATTCATTTACTGCAAAAAAATGTCATGTTGCTGATCACCAAAAATGGTGGCAACTACTTTACACCAAAGTGGTGTTTCACTAATTGTTCCTCTACACCAAAACGAAAGATAGTTCTTGAGGTAGTGAAACATCAAGAAAGTTTTTTAACACAACTTGGTGTAAAGTAGCCGCTACCATGTTTCGTATTCAAGAACACTAAAATTTATGATTAAAGTAGGATAAAATACACATAAAAACCAGTAAAGTAACTTTTACGATAGAATCTAAAGCAATAATCATAAATTTCGGATGCTTATATACACAATATTTCATGCAATAAAATTAGTTTGTTAATCAAAAATATACACTGCAGACAGAAAATGAATATAAATTTTGAAAAAAACCAATGTGAATAGAAGTTAAAATTTTTTATGCAATTGACAGATATATGTAAAACTTATGAGACTAAAAGCAAACATGTTTTATAATTATTGATATGAGTAGTTTGTCAAATCAAAGAGACTGAAATTACTTGGCAAATAATCGACCTCAATCAGTATTTTAATCAATAAGGAAAGATGATTGATTTGTTTTAAATAGGCTATGACAAGTTGGTCAATAAAATCCGGCAAGAAGTACACTTCAAATAAATAAACGGCTATCTTGCGCGTCATATTGCCTCAATCTTGAAATTGCACAATTATTCACCTTTGAACTTTTAATAATAGTCCAAAAGCATTTATTATGCATTTAAAACATGTCCTAATACCCCTGTGCTTAAAGCATACTTCTATAGCATTTTAAAACTATAATTAAAAAATAAATACAATTCTAAAAATGAATACGATTCAAAAACTATTATTTATCATGTTGCCAACAAGAAATTTACTACTTTAAACACTTATTTTTTAGCCCAGCATCCTAAACGTAATACAAGCTGTAAGAAAACTCACATATAAATTAAACTCACAACTTGATAAGTGTGTATATCAAATAGTGTGCTTACAATTCCTAAAAGAATTTTAACTAACTTCTGTCACCTCTTTTGCTTACAAATGCCGTTTGCCTCAATAAGCTGGTTTGTCACGCAGCATTTCATGCCAAGTATATTTCAATAGTATTTATGCGAGGGATTGACCTTAAAAAAATGAAGAATTTATTTCGATTATTTTCTCATAAATTGACACGAAAATTCATATGTACCAATGTTACAACAACAAAACATTTCAGAAGCTAAGATTTTATTTCTTAATGCATTCTTTTAAATGCAATAAAAAAAATGAGTTGGTGACATAAAATTAAAATAATAAATAAAAAAACTATAATGAGTGCAGAGAATATTAGCCAAACATATACCGAAACTTCATCAAATGTGTCTAAACCGAAGTGCCACAAATGAAACGTACAGACTCGAGCAAAGAGAGCAGGTCCCATAATAGCTCTGTAAAAAAAGCCCTTGTGAGCAATGCGTTTCATGTTTTCGAGATATTTTTCAGGTTATTTAAATTATTTATTTCTTAAAAAAAGTCTTTCCTTGTTCAATTTATCATTTTCAAGAAACGATAGTTGAAATTTACTGTAATTGCGTAATTAAATTAGTTAGAGTTTGAAAATCTTGTTTATTTTGGTTCTCCAAAACTGGCAGAATTCAAACAGAAGGAAAAATTTATATATATAAACTGCTATTAAGATTTTCGAAT